CACACACACACACACACACACACACACACACACACACACACACACCGAGCTGCACTGGTGGGCTGGCTTCCTCGGCATAAATGAGTTCATCAGTTCAATCCTGAGTGCAGGCTACAACTGAAGGAGGTAATGTCCATTCTTCTCTGATGATGTCCAGCTTTTTGTAAAGCTTTATTCTTTACAAAGAATCAGAAAATAAGTCAAAACATCCCCACAGGACAGTTTTTCTCTAAGAAAATTTAGCTAAACTAGCTACAGTCCAGCTATCAGTTAGCTTAATGTTATAACTTCAATTCAGTGATGACATTAAATCCATTATTGAGTTGTTTTTAATTAGTTAAACTAACTTGACGTTAGTTAGTTAAACTGTGTTTTAATGCTAAGAATGAGGACAAAGTCCACTCCAATGGTATTTATTGATTCTCTGTTTTAATTTAAATGCTTAAATTGACCTATTTCTGTAATTTATTAGTTTTAGAGTACCCATGTAGTACATCTGCTTGTGTTCTTAGCAAGAATAAAATGATCACATCAGAAAGGTTTATTTGGAGTTTAGTAGTTTTTAGAGTTTCAGTATTTTCTGCATAAAAACAGTGCTTCATGGTCAGACAACTTTTATTTCTAACAGTCAAACGATGCAAAGAACAATTAGTCGTTGTTATTAATTTATGTTATTTCATGATGTTTTCTTGAAGTTTTAAAGCTGACTGACTTCTGGTGGCAGTAAAATAACCCAATAATTAATCCATCTCCATGTCTGTTGATGAAGGAGCTGAATGCTGAGAGTCAGAGGCAGAAGGAAGGACAGAGTTCTGTCATGTGAGTGATGAAGGTGATGGGCAGATGTGAATGAAATCTAAATTGAATATTCAAATTAATATTTATTTTGAGTTCATTCTAGTCAGCTGTGTGAACTTCATAAAAGAAAAAAAGCATCATCTTCAGCATGATTAACAATGTTATTTTATTTTGACCAATAGGATTAAGTTTCATTTCTAGGAAGTGTTAGAAACTGGTTTTCATAATCGTGATATTTGCCTGGATAAATAAAGGTTGATAAATAAATCTGTCAATCCATCCATCATTAGATTTTTAATCAGTTCCAAACATTCATGTATCAAACTTTCCTAATAATTACATTCACGTTGACAAAACTTACAAATTTTATTTTTAATGTGACCATTGTTTGTCATTTTATGTTAAAGCTCTGTCACACTATGACATTTTAGACAACTTATGCCATCATCTGCTAATTTTGTCCAACACGCTGGCACACGCTGAAGAAAAGGAAAAAAGCAACAATTAGCACCTATTTTTGAACAATCATACCGTTGTAAGAAATACGTGTTTTAATCTCGGCTAAAAATCAGATGTACACACAAATGTTAAATAAAATGATCTGTAAGAAATAAATGTCATACAACATCAGAATTCCAGAGTGGGGTTTATTATGCCAAGGACTGACAAGTCAAAACCACACACTGAATAAAAAAACAGGAACTTTCCGTATAAATACAGTCCAGAATCTTCAATGCCTGAGTTCACCCTCTGCTGGCCTACGGCTGAATCACAGGCATTCATATAAACAAACCTCACTCTTATGTTATTACAGCTTTTTAAATATGTGTTGTTAATAATTCGGACATGTATCTACCCTATTTCAATTAACACATAATAGATCAAACATTATAACAATGTTATAAGAAACCCTTAATACACTGGTGTTGTTTCTGACATCAGTACTGATCTGTAATAATTATAAATTTCTTCATCGTGTTCCTAATGACTTGAGCAGATATAAAACCTATGAGTAAATTATCACTACTTTAAACATAACATGTACAAGCTTATTATAACGTGTTTGGACTTCTGCAGCACGTGTGTGCAACATTAGTGGAACTTCTGCAGAACCTCTGCGCAGCGTGATGGAGGAAAATGAGACGTCGGCAGCAGTCACACAGTGACGCACAGCATCAGCTTATGAAAAAATCTACAACGCGTTGATGGAAGTTAGGCATAATTTTAGGATAACTTGCCAACACGTTAAAGGGGCAATATTATGTGTTCCTCAGGCATATATTTAAGTTCTATACCATAATAAATTATCTGTCACCTTTAGTTGTTATTAAAATGCTGTTTTTTTATGTTTGAATAGAAAATAAACTTTTCTCATCATGTCTGTTTCTAAACACCTTGAAATTGGCGTCTGTCTCTTTAAGAACCTCCTTCCGCTTCTGTCTCACCCATTTCAACATGTGGTGGTGGGGGGGGGGGGGGCCAAGCTCAGTATAGTTTGCTTGAATCTGAAAAGGGCTGCGCTGAGATGTGGTATTGGGAGCTGTTTGCTTTATTGCTGCTGATAGCCTGCAGGAGTCACAGGCGGGGTGCGGGGTGCGGGGTGGGGAGGTGTGTTCTGTGAAGAGGAAGCTCAGCTTGGAGACACAGCCCAGAGGTGGAGCTGGTTCCAAAAGGCAGTTCTAGTCCCAACCGGTTGTTTTTGCTCCCTTGCCTGGCTGCCTCAGGACAGCACAGGATGCAAACATGCATGAATGAGTCAAAGCAAGACTCTGGACATGTTTTTGATGAGAGGATAACATTGTAATTTGAAATAAAACTCAAAAAAGTTGATTTGACATGATATAGCCCCTTTAATATAAGAGGGCACATGTTGTCATACAGAGATCCCAGCGCGGAATTTTTAACATGCTCAAAGTTTTCATCTTATGTGGAACGGTTGGTGATCAGTTTTACACATATTTCAGGTCCGTTCCAGATCTGTTATATATACTGTTTGTTCACACATTTTACATGAACGTTGCTCATACGTGGACATTTGTCAGAAACAAACTGGGTAATTACGAAGCAGATACGTAACTTCAGAATGTGTGGGCGTGTCCTTCGATGACTGGCCGACAGCTGTCAACATGTCAGGGAAGAAGTTCGAGAGCGGGGTTCATAAAAATAATATATCTGTCAGACTGAGTTTTAAAATATAAAAATAATTCACAGTGATCAAAACAAAGCTGGCAGATACTTTTAAAGCAGCTGTCAGAGAAGATGATCCACAGAAAAAAGTCTGGATGAGGTGGGCGCAGGAGACCAATCTGCTGGACTTTAGAACGGAAACCCGGGTAACAACATTGATCAACAGATGTGCATGTTCTGCCACAAACGGGTTGGTTGCGGTGGCACAATTTGATAATCCGCCGCGAAGAACAGCCCAAAGCCCGCAGCCTGAAGACCCCCTGATCACTGCATGTGGCTCGAGAAGCAGCTCCACTCAGCTCAGCTGTGCATTTCACAGCCTACAGATGTTGCTTTACTTATGGTTCAAAAATCCCTTCTCCACACCTTAATATGCCATTATACCAAGTCCCCCGTCCCTCCGTCACCCGTCCCCACTGCACAGCATGTGGGACCTGCTCTACCAGTACTCCCCTATCCCCCTCCTCCACACACACACACACATTTACACACACAGCCCAGCTTTGTCTGTTTTCAGATCAACTTGAGGTACAAAGCAATCGCCTAGTTTGCCTGCCTTGTTGCAACGAGCCTGAGTATTTCTGCCTCATCACCAGATAGCCTTTCCTTTTTCATTTCCTTCATGTGCAGCCAGACTAAACAAGTGCTCACTCTATAAATTATCTTTTGAATGATTTTTACACACGGTAAAAAAAAAAAACAACTTCTACACGAAGACGCGCTTGTTTCGGCTTCCGGGCAGTGAACTGATGATGCATTCACAGACGGAAAAATGTTGGATTTCTCAGCACTGCAGGTTTCTTTTGTAGCTTATTCTTCAAACTAAGATAAACCAGGTACAACTGGGCTTGTCTCCAGTTTCATCTATGAGAATGTAATGTGTTCTAATCTATCTGAGAAAATCACCTCTCTCACACAACTCTTGGTGATTTTAACTCCTGGGGCATTATGAGCCCTGAGGTACAAAGATCCAACTACCCCTTCCTGCAAGTGGTTAACCCCTCCTGAAGCTGCATCAAGGTCTCTCATGCATCCATGGGAATCCGGCCTGCGTTAAATGTCTATCTTCAGCTCCTCCTGCCTGGATCAATGTCTTTGTATGTTAGTGGGAAGAACCTCCAAACAGTCTGATTGAACAGTATGGTTGGTGTCAAAATTATTTAACATTTTCTCTATTCAACTGTACTGTTATTTTTCTTTATCATTTTGAGTAAACCTTTTATCCTGGTTTGTTTGTTTATTTGTTTGTTTGTTTGTTTGTTTGTTTGTTTGTTTGTTTGTTTGTTTGTTTAACTCCTCTTCATTCACAGTAATCTTAAAAAAATCTATTTTAGACCTGATGGTATTTCATGATTCATCTCTTGATTAACTCTTTTACCAGAAAATTATTGGGTTTATTATTTTCAGATTTCCTTCTGCCATAAAAGAGCAAAAAATATTTAAGTAATGTGTCTTTAATTCTTGTGTATGTGTTTTAGAAAGTCTTGTTTTGCTACATTGTCTAGATTCCATTGCATTAATCTGAGCTAAATATAAAACAATATACAATATAATAACAGTATATGATAATAAAAAGCCCTGAGAATGCATAACAAAATATCTGCTGATATTAAACTGCCTGGCCAAAAAAAGTCATCCCCTGGATTTAACTAGGTGCTATGATCTGGGGTTGCTGCAGTTGGTCAAGTCTAGATTGTAGCATGAACGACCCCTGACATGACCTTTTAACAACCTATAAGTAACTGAAGTGAAAAAGCTTTCTTAGACACAGATTCTGTATTAGCTTTCAATAGTCGATCCTTATGCAGATAACGCTGACACAACAATCTGTTTTAATCGTTTGTGATTCATAAAAAACAAGAAAATAATCATTAACATGATTTTTCTTTTTAAAGGTATTTTTATTTCAAGTGTGTATTATTATACTGTGGTCTGAAGATGATTTATGAACTGTCATTAATTTTCACACCAGTCTAAATGTAACTGACTGTTCTTTTCCTTTCTCCTGAGCAGATGACAACGAAGCAGATGCATGTGTGTGTGTGCATGATCATGACACCGCTCTCTCCATTAAACATACAGTATTTCTCCCATGAAGAAATATTTTGTCTTCTGTGTCAAGACCAGTTATCATTGTTGTGTCTAGACGACACACAGCTGAACACTGAGTGCAACCTGGAAAAAAAAAACAATTCTGAGTTGGATTTTGACGCTGCAGCTGAGAGCTTCAAGACCTGAGATGGATGCGACAACCATCTGAGGGAAAAATGTCATTTTTAATTTCTGTAACAATAAGTTTTGCTGACCTGGCGGGATCTGATAAGACTTTTTTGTGACGGAAAGCCAAGCCGTCCCAGTGGGTCCGTACGAAACTCTCCATAATGACCTCAGGGCGGTCTGAAACATCTGGACCTCAGAGTCCGGTACTTTGAGCCTTCACCTCCATTGAGACAATGTCTCCAACTTTGGTGAGCTGATGAACTGTACATGTGAAGTGTTCACAGAACAGTCCTGGTTAATTAGCCAAGGCAACGTTGATAAAATTCTTCTGATCTGCAGTAAGATTATAATTACTAATAATCTGACCAAGATCTTAACATCTTCTTTCTAAATGTATAAAAACTTATAGCTTTTAACCTGGGTCTCCAGTCAGTTACAGTAAATATTTAAAAAGACACATTTCCTTTGGGGAAAATATATTTTCATTCTATAAATGTTTTATCATCCAAACCTTTTCTTAACTAGATGTATAACATCAAGTCTACAATAACTTCCATCTTTAACTGTTTTATAAACCTTATTGCTTCTTCTTTCATGTTGTTATTTTTATTGTTTTATACATGATTTAATAAATTGCCATAAAAGACAAAGCTAGTTCCTCATCTCTGAGTATTTTGGCCTGAGATAATTCCCTGCATGGGTGACCCCATAAATTAATAGAATCATGTTGCCTGGTTAAAAAAAGGCTTATAAATAAATATAACCAAATACCTCCAAAGCTGCACATCTATTTCAAAACTGAAAAAGGTAATAATTTAAAAGCTTATTAACTACCACAATTTGAAATAATATGAACATAAAGTATACTGTATATCTGCAGTAAATTATCTGAACAGTAGACTAGTCTGACTAATACTTATTTTGGCTAGAATTACTACTTTACTAATTTTTTCTTTGAAATAGCATTTTGCTACACTGTTTTTATCAAACCTTTTGTAACATTTAGCTTCTAACTAGCTTCTTGAAATTTTTCTAGCATTTTGTTATTTTCTACTCTTAACTTTCCTTTATGACAGTGTTTTACAAAATGAGGGCTGTGGGCCGCCAAGGGGCACTAGAGGGGTGCTCAGAAATCTTGAGAGAAGACAAAAAAATGTTTTTAACTGTCAGATTTAATGTAATTCGTGTTTTGACTCATTATCATAAAACAAATTTTGTTTTTCAATAATCATTTTAAAATAGTCATTTATAATATTATATTGAAATGTTATTTAAGAGAAATAAAAAGTGGTTTAATTGTTTTCTGTTCTGTTCTTGGCATCAGTAATTCATTGAATAGTTGGTTTATCAGTGGGAATATAATACAGTGTTTAAAACATATTAGTTTAAGAGGTTTTTATTGTAAACAAATGTAATAATTATTGAATAGTGAATAAATTGATTAAAAAAACCTTTAAAAATGTATGTTTCTTTACATATTTTGTAGCATTGTTCATGAGTTTGTAAGGGGGTCCCCGGCCAGAAGCTAATGCTGTTTGTGGGGCAATGGTATGGAAAGGTTTGGGAGACCCTGCTTTCTGCTGCTTTTAGCTTTTAGCTTCTCGTATGTTCAATAGATATTTTCTCAACATCTTGCTTATAGCTTGTCTCCCTAGTTTTGCGTTTAGCATTAGCCTTTTGCTGCTGTTACCTAGTCTTTTACTGCTTCCAGCTTTTACAAAGTAAAAAACAAAGTGTCATTTTAACACCTGAGTTTAACTCTGCTTCATATAATATTTGGTCCCTCTCAAAATTACTATAAAATGTTCTCTATAGCCAGTGTCAACTTCGCAGGATTAATTTTACTCGTTTTAGTGTCAGAATTAACAATGAAACGAGTAAAATTATTTAACACTATAGTTCATTAGTGTAATATTGTTATTTTTATAGTTACTTTTACACTAAATTTACTTTAAAAAGTACACTTCATTGTGTAATACTATTTTTTTCTTTTCGTTTTTCTTTTTACACAGTGAGAGTCAGAGTACACAGAGTTCTGCACTCTATCCTAGAGTTAAAATCAACACTTAAAATGTTGTTTTAACACTTGTCATTAGTTGGTAAAGCAGCACAACAGAGTCACCCTTCACACACAAGGAAGTACCTCTAACTCATGGTGTTGATTTATGGCCAATAACACAAAACTTAAACTTGAACAACTAACCAAGCTGAACAAGAAAACTTACCAAAAAAACTAATTTTTACACTTATTAACATTTTTAACAGTCTTGGACATGCAAACACATCATTTCTTTAAGATTACCCAGCATTCCTTGCTGAGAAAATTCTGGTCCATGAGGGAGATGGTGGGGCTTTTCAGAGTACTTATTTCAACACTGAGTTTTGTTATGTTAATCGAGACTTAACAGTGGGCGGAGCTTATTTAACTGTCCAGAGTTGAGACAACACTGGTGAAATGAACTCTGTGAATTAACACCAACACTGGATGTCAATTTACTCAGTAAGTGCAAAAATAACATTTGCGGAGCTGAAATGAACTCTGAAAAGTTTAACACTGCAGGTTTAACACTTTTGCTACTTTTGGCTTTTTTCAGTTTCAGTTTTAGCTAGGTGTTCTGCTTCTTTAGCTTTAACATCTCAATGTCAGCTTCATAAATGATCAGAATTTTAAACAGCTGAATGTGACAATCTTCTGACTATTATTATTGCACATGTGCACATTTCAGTCTGTTACCTGTTGCACATTTGCACATTACACTTTAAAAACAGTCTGTACAGTTTCCCTTCTTGTTGTTTTATATTGTTCCCTTCTGATATTATTATTCCTTAGTTTAGTCTCTTTTTTAATCAACATTTTTTGTGTCCTTTCAAGGATGATTCATCTTTTAATATGGTTATCTCTTGGCATTCAAAAATGGACGACAAAGTAAGAATTTCATTGCTCAGGAAAACCTGTTTTTCATCTGTGCATATGACAATAAACACTTTGAATCTTTGAATAAAACGCTGAGCATTTACTCTGCATTTATTTCCACAGAAAATGCAATTTTTCTAGTTCTCACTGGTCTCAGTATTAGCATTGTTTGCAGAGCACATGTTTTTTCAGGTACTACCTTTCTCACAGCTTGCCACAGCAAGCAAGCTCATATAATGATTTGGCAATTGTTTGAATGCAGGATTCTTCCTGATGCAACCACTGACTACTGAGCTACTGCAGTCCATAAGTGTGGAGCAAGGGGGCTGCCATCGAAGGCACCCAGGCCAGGTCAGAAGATGTGGAGGTTACGTTACTTTCTCATGGGCCGAGAGTGGAGCAGATAAGGGTGGAGGCAGGTGAGGGTGCATCACCTTTTCCCACTCAAATTTGTGTTGTAATGGTCAGGGAACTGGAAACTGCAACTTTTCGATTGCAGGCTTTCTTCTCTAACATTTGAGGTGACTATGTTTGCTAAACTGCATTTTTTTCTTTCCTTTTCAGCACCTTGCTTTAAATGTGCTAAAATGCATAATTTTCCAGAGCCTTTTAGAGAAAGGGCACACTGTATGGATGGAAAATACATTGATAATGTGCTAAGCAGGCTAAGAAAAACTGGCTGATGCTTTGTTTTTGTCTTAATTCAATGTTGTTACAAAAACTGTACTCACCAAATCAAAAAAAAGAGACAAAAGCCCTTACAATTAGCTTTTTTCTTTTGCTGTTCAAAATGTAGACACTAAATTCAGAGATGAGGCTCCAAAGAGACACATGTGGCCCCAGAGCCACATGTTAAAGACTTAAGATTAAACACAGAAACAACCATGTTTGTTTCCTATGACAATGGGTCAAAAACATTAGCCTTGTTTTCCAACAATGCCTTCACTGCATGCCATGATGTTTGGTTTGACACAGTTTTTATCACTTGCTAAACAGAAGCAGAAAACCGAGCACTGCGTACCTCTGAGAGGCAGCAAAGAAGGGAATAAGATCGCCATCTAGAGGCTTAAAGTCTCTGCAACACTGTTGTGCTTCCACTCTTCTAAACATTCACACAGACTTGACAGGAAACTTTATCTACAAAACCAAACACTCACAAATTCAAGCATAAAGCTTTTATCATCTGCTTAATGGGAACTATAGCTCTCTATGTCAGGCTCACATGCAGGGTGAGGACAAGAGGAAGAAGTGTAGAGAAAGATTTCTACATCACAGTGTTGTGTGTTTTCGTCTCAGCTGAGACAGGTTAAGGAAGGAAACACTGATAAAATATGAAAGGTAAGGATTGAAAACAGATCTTTTAACTTACCTATGATGGGAGCCAGATGGAAGATATCAGACAAACGGCTGTTCGCCACTTCGTATGGAGACTCCTCCAATAAGTCATTACCTGAAACAAAAACATGACGTTCAGAAAAAAACAACGGATAGACCATTTCAACCCTCACCCCTGCTATGTCTCTTTGTTTGTTTATCATCTCTCCAGGCCTCACATTGGCCTCCATGTGACAAGGGTTATTTGGGTCAGTCGATATCCGTGCTCGCACCAAGCTGCACGCCTGATTAAGCAGGTTGGTCAGCTGTGTTGCACAACTGCAGTGGGCCTCGCTCAAGAGAAGCAGGATGCAATTTGGAAACTTTAAAGGCCATCCCCCCACCCCTGTTTAAGACGGCTGAGGAGCATCACGCCCCATTAGTTACAAAGGATGAGACTCAACAGGTCGAGTCTGAGACCTCAAATCTAAACTGAGTCAGAGCCTGGTTTACAGTAAATCATGCTGCTGGTTTTCTGAGTGTTTGTTGTACAGAGGGGTCACACTGCTGAACTCAGGGCAAGCAGAGCTGTGCCCTCCTCCATTCAGGGCTGGGAGGTGAAATAGTCTCTCAAACGGGATAGATGAGACAACCTATAAAGGTAATCCATTTTCAAGCTGCAGGGAGTTCTTTAAGAGCAATTTCTTTGAATCACAGCCTTTTATCAGCAGGCAATACTATTTTAGCCTATGTGTGTGTTTGTGAGCAAAATAATGAACCAGTTCATACATTTTAATAAAACTATCAGAAAATACTCAATGGAAGTACATATAGAATTTATAACTTTTGGAGTCAAGCAAATTGAAAATGGCCACCTAAATCTTATCACCATTAGTAAACAAAATGTCCACAACCCCAAATTGAATTTAGTTGGGATGTTGTGTAAAACATAAATAAAAACTGAATTTTCAACCTATATTCAAGTAAATACACTACAAAGACAAGATATTTATCAATCAAACGAAACAACTTTGTTTTTTTGTAAACGTTCACTAATTTTGAAACAGATTAATGTCATGATTGGGTACAAAGGGAGCATCTGATAGCATCCATGAAAGGCTCAGTCGTTCACAAGCAAGGATGATATGAGGTTCATCACTTTGTGAACAACTGCAAGAGCAGTTCACCAGTTTAAGAACAACATTTCTCAATGTAAAATTGCAAGGAATTTAGGGATTTCATCATCTACAGTTCATAATATCATCAAAAGATTCAGAGAATCTGGACAAATCTCTGCAAAGCCAAAAAACCAACACCTTCCATCACTTGGGTGGAACTGGAATAAAAAACATCATTATTCTGTAACAGATCCACACGGGCTCAGGAACATTTCAGAAAACCATTGTCAGTGAACACAGTTTGTTACTACAAGGTAAAACTCTACAACTCAAAGCGAAAGCCAGATAACACATCAACAACACCCAGAAACACCTCCGGCTTCTCTGGACCTGAGCTCCTCTGAGATGGACTGACACAGAGCAGAAGTGTCCTGTGGTCTGACCAGTCCACATTTTAAGTTTTTTTTTTTTTTTTTTTTTTTTTTTTTTTGAAATCATGGACATCATTTCCACCAGGACAAAAAGGACTGCCTGGATTGTTATCAGCATAAAAGTTCAAAAGCCAGCCTCTCTGATGGTATTGTATGGTGCCCATGGTGTGGGTAACTGTCACATCTGTGAAGGCATCATTAATGCTGAAAGGCACATACAGGCTTTGGAGCGCCATATGCTGTCATCCAAGTGTGGAGACATCCCTGCTTATTTCAGCAAGACAATGCCAAACCACATTCTGCGCGTATCACAACAGCATGGATTCGTAGTAAAACAGAGCGGGTACTAGACCGGCCAGACCTGTCTCCCACCCAAAATGTGTGGCAAATTATGAAGCACAACGGATTACAAAGTTTAGGACCCTGGACTGTTGAGTAAGTGAAGTTGTTCATCAAGCAAGTACAGGAAAAAAATCCAGCTTCAAAGCTTCAACAATTAGTGTCCTCAGTTCACAAACATTGAGTGTTGTTAAAAGGAAAGCTGATGAAACACAGTGTCACACACATGTCCATGTCCCAGCTTCTCTGGGACATGTGGCAGACATCAAATTCAAAATGGAAAAAAAACTTTAAAATGTATTCATTTGAACATTAAATATCTTGTCTTAGTAGTGTTTTCAATTGATTATAGGTTTAATAGTAGTTGCAAATCATTTTAATGTATTCTCTTTTTATTTATGTTTTATACAATGTCCTGACTTCACTGAAATTGGGGTTGAATTACTTTGACAATTTTATAAATACTGGGTTAAATTTTGTTTAGATAGCAGCAGAGAATCATTTCCTATAAATACTGTGAGCACTTACTGATTGTGCAAGATTGTCATTTAAAATTTTGCCATTAAATAGTAGTTAACTTTATTTGTTCTCAATAGTCTCAATATTTTATTAAAATTTTAGGAAACTAATCAATGACAGTACATTTACAGCTGTTTAATTTTGAAGTCAACCTGCTGTAACGTGGCCACTGCAGCCAAATGAACAAAAGAAATACAAAAATTGCTAAAGCTCAGTTAGTTTTATCAATCCTGAGCTATCATTTGGTGTGGTAGGGTCTACCCAGAACATATTTGCACATTATCTTCGCCTAAAATTTTGGCAAAAACTGCTGAAGTCCACCTGTCTGTTAGCAAAAAGTCTTGTGAACTGGTGTACAGATTTTAATAAAAACTCTAAGAAATTAATGATTGGCTGCACATCCACAAATCAAAAAGGTTTGGAGTCAGCGCAGTTCAAGATGCCTGAAACAGTTTGACAAATTAGCCAAGTAAAAATGTTTATAACGTGAGACCATTTTTACAGATACTGAGTTCATGTTAAAATTGGTGTAGCAGCCTAGTAGGCCCATCTGAGAATCATCCTCAGCACACAGGCTGCTCTGAGGTCACACTGTGAGTTTCCTCAATGTTATTTTCAAAATTTCACCTAAACTCTGTAATCTCTCAACATAAGATGATTTTATTCTAAAACTCTAGCAACACAGTAGGCAATGTCCAAAGTGCAAGGTCCAAACAAAAAAAAACCCATGTCTCTAATTCCCAAACAAAGAAAACGACAGACCTTGTAAAGTCTGGTAAATGCCCCAGTAGATGCGGAGGCAGTTCTTTTCTTTCTTCATGCCCCTCTTGCAGCGGCAGTTGTACAGCGGGCTCTGCTTCAGCGCCTCCATGGCGCTCCGACACTCGTCCTTCACCTCCAGGCTGTTGTTGCCCTCCTTCCCGCCGGCCACGCACTGCCTCATGGTGCGGTACTTGGTGCTGCACGACTGCTCCCGCAGACACTGCTCGCTGGCCCTCACGCAGTCCAGCCGAGTGGCCCCGGCGCGCAGGTTCTCCTGCGCGTAACACGTCGCATCTGGAGGCAGAGTTTACAGACAAAATAAAACCAGAAACTTTATTTTATTAGGAATAGTTATATCCTTTTTGTTTACTTATGTGCTGTGGGTATTTTGTGTAAGCCGCTCTCAGGAATTAGAACATTAAAACAAGTCGTGGCGTTGATAACCACATTATTCAAAACTGTTTTAGATTTTTCACTTTTTGATTAGCTTAACTTCTAATATGTTCCCTTTTTTTTAACGCGGCTCCTTGGATCCCTTCCTCTGGATTCTCCCGTCTTTCCTCTCAGAATCTTTAGCTTATAAAAATATATTTTCAGATTTCCTGCCGTTCTTTTAAGTTCAACTTACCCAAAAGAGGCAGAACAACATACAACGCTGCGAAGATCATGGTTTTCCTGCGCGTGAGAAACAAACACTAACAGCGTTGAAGGAGGGTTTTACCAACTAAAACGGACTTAGTGTAACTCCCAGGGTACATCCACTGGATGGAAATCTGTGAAGAGACGCGCCGTGCGCTCCGATGTGGAGAGAATAGATCCAGCGGGACTCGTGCAAAAACAAAACAAAAATAATTCCCTTAATACAACAACATTATTTTTTTAAAAGTCCGGGTTTTGCTTAGTTTCTGTCACTTTTCGAGTCTGGACCCTAGAAGCGCGTCCCTCCGTGTGTCAGATCAATGACACAAAGAAAGAGTGGGTGAGGAGCTGCGGTCGGAGCGTGCGTCCTCCTCCCGTCTGGTCCAGTCCAGCCAGTGGAATGCTGCTGCTGCTGCGTCTGGGAGTCCGCCGCCCAACTGGAGTCCCACTGCCTGTCTGTTCAGCAGGGGGAGAGCGCAGGCGTCACTCTCCCCCTCTTCACCCACGCGCGAACACTAATCCTACATTTCCAAGGATGGAGCTTCACAAAGCTCACTGTTCATCGGGACTTGAACTGTGGCAACTTTCCTATCGATTCTAATAAACTTTTGAGCTCACTTTCATCTGAATAGAATTAAATAAAAACATTGCTTTTGGTCATCTCCCAAAATATAACTTAACATTAAAAGCATAAATGCATTTCACCGCATCTGATCAGCTTCAGCTGCCACATCACATTTGATCACAACATTTGTGAAATTAGTCACTTTAATAATTTGTAAAGTCAGCTGGCAACATGACTCCAAAAGTTAATGACTTATATGTACATTTAGTTGTTCTGAATGTTTCTAAAAGCTCAAGTCTTCGAAATGTGATCCCACTAAACAGCTGTGCTGAAAGAAATCAGGCATCAGTCAAAAGAGAGAGACTGTCTCCACCTGCTGGTGATGTTAAAAGGACAACTTGTCTGATCCTTTCAGCTCAAATTTCAATAATTTATTTATTTATTTATTTATTTATTTATTTATTTATTTATTTATTTATTTATTTATTTAGATTGTTAACTTGAAATCCAATATGACGACTACATGAAAGATGCATCCTTCGCCCCATGGATAGCCCATAAATTCCATTCAGAACCTAATCCACTCAGTTAAATTCACGAGAGCTGTTAATGATTGTCTCTTCATTAAAACACAGACTCAATCATTCAGGAATGCTGGAGTCCATGTGGTAAATCAGGGAGAGAGCAGCATGCTTTCAGAAAGGGCCATTATGTCAGGAAGTGATGCTTAGTGGAAAAAGATAATCGGGCTGCAATGTAAAAATGCTGCATTCATAAAACTGACTGCATGATAAATACGTTGCAAATTCCAAAACACAAAAGTGTACCACACCTATAGGGCAGTGGGGGTGCCAGAGAAGTTGGCTGGCAGATAGCCCTGTCTGCTTAGCGGTGGTGACAATATCACTTTACATGGAGGTAATTATTATTATTATTATTATTATTATTATTATTATTATTATTATTATTATTGAGTCAAACAAAAACAGTTTCAATAAACAAATGTAATTTCTATTTAAAAAATCAACATAAAAAAGTAATTTCAACCAAACAAAAAAGTGATTTCATTCAAAAATTCCTTTGCAAAACAGAAACCTTTTTTCGCATGTCAGAAGTCTTTGGTTGAATCTCAAACTTTTGGTTGATGCTCTAAGTTTTTGGTTTTAATGTTTCTATAAATCGCATCATGTCCGATACCACCAGCCTGACTTGTGGTGTACCCCAGGGTTCTGTTTTGGGACCCATTCTGTTTATTCTTTATATTCTCCCCCTTGGACAGGTAATTCAGAAATTCAGAAATGTGAAATTTCAGCTCTATGCTGATGATATCCAACTTTATTGTTCATTTAGAGAAAGTGAGTTTCATAAAATAGAGTCCCTAACAAATTGTTTAGCTAGCAGCAAACAGTGGTTAAGCAAAAATTATCTACAACTTAACTCTGATAAAACTGAAACTCTGATTATTGCGCTGGAAAATAAGGTTGCTCAGATTGAACAGTTTAGTGGTGTCTTAGGTCCATCTGTTCAGTCCAGCCTCAGAAACTTGGGTGTCATTTTTGATTCTGCAACGTCTCTGAAACAACACGCAAAACAACTGACCAGAAACTGTTACTTTCACCTTAGGAACATCTCAAAATTGAAAAATTTCCTCTCAAAAGCTGAACTTGAAATGGTCATTCATGCATTTATTTCTTCTCGTTTGGACTATTTTAACAGCCTATTCACTTGTTTAAACAAGTTAGACTGTCTTCATGTTGTCCAGAACTCGGCTGCTCGACTGTTAACTAACATAAACACACGTGCTCACATCACACCTGTTTTGGCTTCTCTTCACTGGCTCCCAGTTCATTTTAGAATTCATTTTAAAATTCTGGCTTTAAATTTTAGAGCCTTACATGGTCAAGGCCCATCATATTTCTCAGATTTGATCCAGCTTCACACCATCTCACAGTTTGAGGTCATCAGGTCAGATGTTGTTGGTGGCACCCCGCACACATTTCAAATCCAGAGGGGATTGGTCTTTCCAAGCAGTTGCACCTCGGCTCTGGAATGCACTGCCCCAACTTATATGCAGCCTTGGTTCTATTGATGCTTTTTAAAAAAACATCTGAAAACTTTCTTTTACAAACAGGCTTTTAGCTAAGTTTTGTTTTGTTTGTTTTTTACTACTTGTATTCTTGTATGAATTGTAATGCTGTGGTGATGTTTTAATTTACTATTTTACTTTCTTGATTTTATTCTATTTTATGTGAAGTGCTTTGTGATTTTATGTCTATGAAAGGTGCTATATAAATAAACTTTACTACTTAGTTTACTTTAAGTTTTTGGTTGAGCTCAAAAGTTTTAAATTACAAGAACATAAACTTTCAGGGTGGGGTCAAAGAACTATGTAAAACGTGTCCTTATTGGTTAGTGCAGACTTAAGTGATTTCCTCTTGTACCTGAGTACAGAGGAGGCTAACCTCTGTTGCAGGGCTCCGTTGTCTGTAAAATTTGAAAATAAATAAAATAAATCCACCTTGGATTTTGATGAAACTTTTAGGGAGATTATATTGCTCAGAAATTGCTGACAGAAATTTGAACCAAATCACACAGCTTTTCACAGAGATTTTCTAACTTCAGCGATTTGCGCCTCAGCGCGTCGAATGCTCACATCTTCAAATCGTTCAAATCGCACTGCTATAATCGCGCTTGAGGCGCCGCAACACTTCCCGACGCTGATTGAAGCGCGTCCACCATAGACTTTGTACGTAAACCTGAGGCTCCTGATGCTGAAATCGTGTTTGGTGTGAACGCACCATTAGAAAATCTGAACTTTTGCAGCTCGACGCGTCGCGTCAACCAATCAGAGAGACTCCACTGTGTGACATAGCGACAG